GCTCTCACAAAGCTCAGTTCAACCACTTGACCAGCCACTGAGAAAAGCTGGTGAAAATACGTGCTTGAGGCGGAAAGGATGTTTCTGTGAGCTCGAAACTTCCGGTCCTCCACGATGACTGTAACATCACAAAAAAGTCCATGGCCACGTTGTTCATTCAAAGACTGAAGGAGCACACTAGAATACTGTGTGTCTGTTGCAGAGATGAGTTTTTTCCCCTCCATTCCTACAAAAGGAAAGTAAAAAGTATCAAATTAGTAAAAATACAGACATACAGTTTTAACTGCGTGACAACATTCCCATATTTACTGTCTGTTCCTTCTTTGAAAGAAAACAAATCTGAGACACTGTTCATAAGGATATATGCTACAGCACTTGGCAAATTTGTTTCTTCTTATTTGTCCTTTCACCTTCTACAAAAGGTAAGTGCAATTCTGAACATATCCTCTACTCTTACAAGGTGAGGAACAGAGAAACTGCTTATTCTACGCCAACAGCAAATACAGTAAATTTTACAACCAAGCAGATGGAAGATTTGGGTCCCTCAAACAGCTTTAAACACTATTAGACATTTCTTTCTGATTGTGAAGATATTCTATAAATTGTTATGAGAAATCCCAATAACATGAAGTTATTCGTGGGCCAGACAGCAATATCTGTATATCACCAGTCAATGAGTTGATGAAAACGCTATGGATACCGCACTTCCTGCCCCAGGAAAATAAACTTTTTTTAACCCCTCGTCATACATTCCCAAGGCTATTCTGTATTTCAAACCGAGACACCGAGGCAGCACGGCAACAAAACAGACCCGCAAAGTCAAACTGACCCCTCTCTCGGCACTGCCCCCTTCACAGCCCCCAACAGGCTGAAAAAATCAACGTCAAAATATAGAACCGCGAAACTTTTATTTCCGCAGGCCGGGCCGGGCCGGATGAGCCGCCGAGGCCGGACCCCGCGGCCCGCCGTACCTCCGGCCCGCCTCCCCCGCGGCCCGGCGGGGCTTCCCGTGACAACGAGCGCCCCGAGCGCCGCCGCCGGGCGTTCCGCGGGCGGCTCGGCAGACCCGGCGCTCCGGAGCGCCTGGCGGCAGCGTCGCCCGAACCTCACGGACTGGCCCCTCCCCGCTCGGCCCTTGATCGAACCCGTTTTGGGAGAAGCGCCCCGGCGGGGCGGGATCAATAGTCGCGCTGCCCGGTGCCCCCGGTACCTGCGTTACCTGCCCGCGGCTCGCGGCCGCGGACCCCGCCGCGTCCCCGCGCACCCGCCGCGCCTCGCCGCGGGGGCGCTGCCCGCGCTGCCCTGCCTGACCCGAGAGGCCTCGGAACCTTCGCGCCGGGGGCGGGCCGGGCCGCGATTCCCCTCGCCCCCGCGCCGGGGCTTCGCCCACAGACCTCGCCTCGGCGGCCCCGGGCACCGGAGCTGCCCGGTCGCACGCCCGGGTGGCCGCCCCCGCCGGCAGAACCCCCCTGCCCCACCGCAGGCCTTGGGCAGCTCGGCCTCACGCTACGGGCCTCGCGCGGCTTGGCGGTCTCCCGCCGGCTGTCCCGGCACCTGCCTTGTGCCCGGCCGTGTGGATGAGGCCGTGCAGACGTTATTTCCCGCTGCGGCTCATTTCCTTCCCGGGGGCAGGGACCGAGCTGGCGCTGCTCCGCCGGGGGTGACGCAGCTGTGGCACCTCCGCCCAGCACCGAGCGGGGCTGTAACCCGGCCTGGGCATCCCTGTATAACCCGGCCTGGGCACCGCTGGATAAACCCGGCCTGGGCACCGCTGGATAACCCGGCCTGGGCATGCTGATAAACCGCCTGGGCCACGCTTGTGATAAACCCGGCCTGGCAACGCTGGATAACCGGCCCTGGGCACCGCTGGATAAGACCGGCCTGGTGCACGCTGGATAACCGGCTGGGCACCGCTTGGATAACCCGATCCTGGTGCACCGCTGGATAACCCGGCCCTGGGCACCCCTGGTATACCTGGGCCTGGCACCGCTGGATAACCCGGCCTGGCACCGCTGAATAACACGACCTGGCACTGCTGTATAACCCGACCTGGGCACCCCTGTAAAACCCGGCCTGGGCACCCCTGTAAAACCCGGCCTGGGCACCCCTGTATAATCCGACCCTGGGCACCCCTGTATAATCCGACCCTGGGCACCCCTGCCCACACTGCAGGAGCGTTGGTTTGGTGCTCTTTGCACCTCGCTGGCACGTCTTGGACCCCGCTGGCAGCTGAGCAGACGTGCACGGCCTCCGCACAAAGTGTCTTTGAGAAAAGGCGCGACAGGTTCCAGGTTTGACATGTGGCCATCAAAGCCACACATCCACAATGCGGCCTCTTGGAAACTGTCGCTGTTCTGGAACGCTCAAAGAGCACCGAGATCATAAAAGATATTTTTCATCTTCAGTTACTGATCTGTTCCATTTTTTTTTTTTCCTATGGATTTTGTGGACTTGAACCACAGGGGTTCCTATTTTTCTTTAAGATTTAAAAACTTTGACAAGAACAAATGTCCTCCTGTGAAGTTAGACCAAAAACATGAACAGGCCACAGTCACTGGCAGAAACAGCTGCAATCCCTCACACTACATATATCAGCAATGAAATGATCCTGCCCCAGTATATGAGCCCTTCTAGCAAGAAAATCACTGCCAACCTCCCTATATAGTGTTTGTATAGTTAGTGCCTTTTGGAAGCAAGCTCTCATATCTGAAATGTTATAAACCGGTTTCTGTTTATTTATAGCTTTTACCAGAGAGTCAAATGGAGGAGAATAAATAACAGAAAAGAATAATCGGGGAAAAGGAAGGCTTTTCTTCCTCATAACCCTTCAATTAAGTTTTCTCCTTTGATCCAGGTTCTTAATAATTTTTACTTAGGTGGATATATTAAATGAAAATAATACTATAATTATTTTAATTCTTAATCCAGTGTTCCTTTTTCTCCTCCAAAAATCTGTGATGGCCCAAATTAAACCATTTCTTAGCCTTTCATCTTCCAGTTTTAAGGAGTTTTCTCCTAATTGCCTATCCCATTCCTAAACAATGAACAGGAGAATTTACAGCTAAAGATGAGCACTGCGTTGGAAGGAGCCCTGCTCCTGAGGCATCACCAGTTCTCAGAAATCAGGTTTGAACTGCTTACCCTTAGGCATAGAAATACTGGCTGATTTAAAAGCTGCTGGTCTAGCTGGGAGAGCTGCACCATCTCCTTGACTTTTACCTTATTTGGAAAAGCTTCTCTCTATGTCAACTTCTTTGATCAGATACAAATCTGAACCCCACTGTCACCTTGCTGTGGCCAGAACAGAGCCAATGCTCTGAGCAGCTTAAATCTGACCAAAGCTGCCACTCAGTCCTCCTGCACTTGAATGCAGAATTTCAACATTCATATTTTTTTGTCTAGCATGCAATTCTTAGTTCTGGGGCTGTTTTTTCCTCTTTTATTTTTAGATAAGATTATAAAGTGTCAGGTGATTCAAGTCACATCAACACTTATACAGTGACGATTTAAAAGAACCATTTTATCTAAGATACTAATAAGAAACATCTAAAACATAGAACTAAACGTGCTATTCTTGGAACTGAAAAAATAGCTAAGAGACACAATGGCAACTTTTATTTTGTTGCATAGAAGTGATCAAAAAAACTCTGGGATTGAGCCTCTGAAAATATGAAGTACAAATTTAAAGAAGTGATGTCAGGCTTTTGTGAGAAGACAAAAAAATACGCAATTCACTGACAAGTTTTCAGTTAAGCAGTTTGAGGAGCTCTCTTGTTTTTAAAAATTCCAGTTTGAGAGAACAGAACGTTTTTAAAGATCTGACAAATCTGAGAGACAAAGAAGCATTCTCCGTCTCATGACGTGTCCTGTGACTCCCCGCCCCACGGGAGGCACTAGGCGTTCCCACCTGAGCCCGAATGTGTGTAACTCGTGAGATCTTTGAGTTTTGAGGGGAGGAGGGGGCTTCCCCCAGCCGATCAAGACCACCACTTGGACAGGACTGCGACCACCATCTTCAACCAACAGAACATTGAAGGTGCAACTACCAAGTTTCATCGCTGGATCCAGCGAGTGGTGACAACATATATCTTTCCATTTTTATCCTTTCTTTCTCCTCCTTATACATTTCCTTAAGTGTTACTTTTATGCTTTAATATTGCTGTATTACTTTAGATGATAAGAAGCAAAACGGCTACACACCTGTTTTCCTTTGAAACAAAATTGCTCTAAAATAAGCCCTACATATATATTTACAAACACGGATCATTCAGTGTCGTTTCACCTTAATCCACCCCAAGGGATTTATTAACAAGAACCTGGGTTACCCTCCCCTTCTGGGGCGGGTCGTATCAAATCCTACCGTCAACCCAGTACCACCATTAAACCACGACCTCAAGTGCTACACGTTTTATGAACACTTCCAGGGATGGTGCCTCCATCGCTTCCCTGGGCAGCGTGTTTCAATGCTTTACAACCCTTTCCGTGAAAAAAATTTCCCTAATATCCAATCTAAACCTCCCCTGGTGCCACTCGAGGCCGTTTCCCCTCGCCCTGTCAATGCTCCCCCGACACGCTGCCGTATCAGGCCGCGCCGGGAGCCGCCGGATTTCCAGCACTCCCAACCGGACCGTGACGGTGTCGGGCCCGGGCGGGGAAGGCGAGCCCCGACGGGGCAGGGTGAGCTGTCCGCGGGGCAGTGCTGCTCCCGGGCCGCCCTAGAGAGCTCCCGGGGCGCGGCCCGTGCCGGTGCCGCTGCCGGCGGCTCCCCCGCCAGTGCCCTACCCGCCGCTGCCTCACCCACCACCGCCTCAACCTGCCGCCGCGTTGGTCCGCGCGTCCGTCGCTGCCGGGCGGCAAAAGGGAGCCGCCGGAGCCGCCCGGTGGCGCCGCGCCGGAGGGGCGGTGCCCGCGGCGGGGCCGCCCCGCGCTCGCCCGCCCGGTGAGGCGCCGGAAAGTGGCCGGAAAGCGTGCCGAAGTGGGCTTCCCCGCCCCTTCGCGCCATGGCGCCGTGTCCCTCCCGCTCTCCCGCCGCCGCCAGCCCCGAGACCGCGCCGCGATCCCGATCCCGCTGCCGCCCCGCGAGCGCATACGTCCGAGGCGCCCCGAGCCCACCGGCGGAGCCGCAGCCGGTCTCGTCGCGCAGCCCCGGCCCGCCGCGTCACGCCGCGCACCACGGGCACCACCCACGGCTAAGGGCTTGGCGAGTACTCCGAGAAGGAGAAGGAAGGAGATCCTACGTGCAGAGGCATAGCGTTGGGCGGGTCGGGGGTCTGTCCCTACAAGGTTGTCGGTCGGGGTCTGGGGTGCTCTGTGGGAGGGCTGGGGGGGAGGGCCGGGCCGCGGCGCTGCACGGCCCGGCCACGGTCTGGGCCCTCTCCGGACGCTCCTCGGCCGTGTCGCGGGCAGGACTGAGCCGGGGCTCGGCTGGGAGGGGGTAACACCTCTGCAGTGGGGGGGCACTTCTGCCAGCCCTCCGGCCTGGGAGTTGGCTCCTTGCACCTGGTTTTTTCTTTTCCGTACTGCGATTAACAGTGGTGACAAGTGCTAAATTTAAAGTGTTTATGTACTGGGTGTGGCACGCAAGGATTCAGTGAAGGTGTTTTCCTTTACAGGAGGCTCAATGAGAGAGAGAGAATTGGAGAGCTGGGGGCACCTGAAGTCTGGGGGCTGTCACCAAAGGTTCCTGACCCCGAGTAAGGCTTATTCTTTTTTCTTTTCTTCAGTTTTTTATGTTAGTTTAATTTACAAAAATGCCTTATCCCTGTGCTAGTCCCATTGCCACAATTCTTGTCGTATCAGTTAACTTCTGAATCAACATAATATGAGATTATTAGGTTTTTCCCCCCAGGTAATTCCAATATGTGATTAATTGTAGATCAATAAATTGATCTACAAATATTGTGACCTCTGTGTTGTGGTTCTGAAAGCAGTTCCCATGCTGAAAATTAACCCTTTAATAGTTTACTTCATTGCAAGTATTGACTCAAAACCTGCAAGCCTTTGGTCACATGTGTATCTTTGATCTTGAGTACTACAAAATAGATGTTAAATAGCAAACTGTTCTTTTTATTCAGTTCTGATGAGCATACACCAGTAGAAGATGAAGAGGCAAAATCGAAGAGTAGTTCTTCGGATTCCAGCTCAGAAGGTATTTTGTTTGGCTTACACAGCTTGTTTTGAAAATGGGAAGCTATTGAAGTCTAGAATCTGCTGCAGTTACTTGCTGGAGGGTTACTGGTTTTGATGGCTGGAAGTGAGTGGGCTCCAGTTCAAAGGAGAGCATTACCTTGGGAAGATTGGGAAGTACATATGGAGCTAGTTGATTGATCTCTAATGTTATATTTTCAAAACATTCTAGAGGAAAAGAAGAAAAAGAAGAAGAAAAGAAACAAGAAAAAACGTAAGGCATCCAAAAGAAAGCGCAGAAAACATTCTGAGGACAGCGACAGTGAGTCGGAGTCTGAGCAGAACTCCAGTGGTAAGACAGGAGGGTTTTGGCTGGTGTGTGAGGGCTGAACACAAACTGACACTTCTGGCTTTTATTGCATGCTTGCAGTGTTCTGAAGTTACAGAGCTGCAGCATCAATCCATGGTCTTTTCTTTCACCATCTTGCTGGGTTTGTAGTGCCTTTTCCTTGAGTGCTTGAGGTCTGGCCTCAGGAAATGGGATTTCTGAGTTAAGCATCCATTGGGCATCTCATCATAGAGATCTGTTTGAGATGTTCTCATATTCATCAATACTGCAGGTAGCTTTCTACTAATGCTTTCTTAGTATTGCTTGATATCTAAACAGTCATGTCTGAGAAGCTGTGTGTGTACTAGGGCATTCTGGTGGAGGCAGTTCAGTACAGTAAACTACTTAGTTATAGCTAATCATCTCTTTTTGCTAATGATATACTTTATTTTTTTTCAGATGAAGATAAAAAGAAAAGCAAGAAGAGGAAAAAGAAGAGCAAAAAGTAAGCGCCCAGGTTGCTGCATGTAGTTCTGGCTTCTTTGGCTGGAGAGCAGCTCCACTTTCTTCACAGGCTCTGAGGGAGTCTGAGCACTCTGGTAATTCAGGCTGCAAGTGCTGACAAGTAATATTAATTTGATGGATTTTCTTTGAATCAACAGAATCGTGCAGCATAGACAACTCCCTGCAAGTGTAGAGCCACTTTCTAGCGCTCTGTGAAAGGTGTAACATGGTCTTGGCTTTGCTGTAAGGTGTTTTCTGTAAAACAACAATCTGTACGCAGCCAGCCAGTCTTCCCATAAGTAGAAGTTACCTTGAGAAACTAATTATTTGAGTATGATTCCAAGCAAATTTTGGTAAATAGTATGTCTGTCTGACTTTATCACAGGAAGAAGTATAAGAAAAAGAAAAATAAGAAGAGCAGGAAGGAATCCAGCGATTCCAGTAGCGAAGATTCCGACGATGAAACAGTTCAAGGGGATGATCTCTGGATTGAGAGATCAAGTAGGTTCACCTGACTTTACATTTGGATTGAAACTTTTTAGTGTCCTTTTTGTGAATTCTCTTAGGTCTTACTGACCTGTGGAACACTTCTGATAACAAAGAACAATGGGCACAATATCAATCTTCCTCATTATTTGATTGTTGCAGAAAATACCGAAGCTGATAGCTTGATTGGACCAGAGGCTCCCAAAACTCATGCGTCTCAGGATGACAGGCCTTTGAAGTGAGTAGCCAGCTCTAACAGTGCTTTGATCCAATCAAGTAAATCAAGCATGAAAGTTACTGTTCAAAAGGGCTGTTACAACAATATGGCATGCAGAGGGAGAAATGCTGTGCCAGAAACTTGCAAACAAAAGTGCTAGTGGTGCTAGCCTTTCCCCTGGCCTGAATTTGGGTAGAAAAGTCTGGTTTATGCTTCTTAGTCTTGATTCCTAGAAAATCAATTGTAAGGTACCTTTATTCTAATGCTCTGCAGTGTTGTGACTTTGTAGTGTCTTCTTCATTTTTTAATCAGAATGGACTCAACTGGTAATTTAAGATGTTTCTGCTGGTGTTAGCCATAAGGAAAGAACAGGCCAATATGTGGGAAAGAATAAGAAATGCAGCTGTATCTGGTAGTGAACAGGGAAGCAGGATGTTTATCTCAGGCTCTCTGTATTTGAGACTGCAATCCTCCCTTTTTTTTTTTTAGCTATGGACACGCCCTCCTGCCGGGTGAAGGTGCAGCAATGGCAGAGTATGTAAAAGCAGGAAAACGTATTCCCCGGAGAGGCGAGATCGGTTTAACCAGTGAAGAGATCGCATCGTTTGAGAGCTCTGGTTACGTCATGAGTGGCAGCAGGTATGGTTTTGATGATGGCAGTGGTTCAGTGATGTTTTCAAGAGCTGCTTTCTCTGTTGGCTGAGTGGAAGACTGCTTCCAAGCTCTAGTTGAAAGTGTGGAGGAGAAGGTTGCTCTGCATGCTTGCAGTAATCTACACCAAACTCCCCATTGCTGTAGACAGATGGTGAGGTTTTCAAGGATGCTTTCTCCTCAAGAGCAAAAGTTCTTTCCAGGCAATATACTTCTAATTATCTTTATTTCAAATGAGGAGCTGCTTGTGCTAGGTGGTGTGTTTGGACAGCCCTGGTGATGTGCTGGCCAGTAGGAGACAAATCAAAGTGTGAGAGGTTGGCTGCACTTTTTGCTCTATGAGTCCTCCAGGAATTTCACTTAAATTTTGGTGAGCCAGCAGCTGACACCCTGGGGGTAGGTGGGACTTCTGGCTCACTACCTGAGAGCAGGCATGCCCAGAAGTCAGTTCCTTGCTCTGCCACACTCCTTCTTGGGAAGGTTTGTGTGCAAGTTCGGACTTTGTAGTGCAGGTATCTTTATTTAAAGCCCCTGAAAACATTCAGGCCAGTTGATGGATGGAAGCTGTACCGGGGCAGTGTGCCCATGATGACACACACCACGTTCCCCTCCACAGACACCGGCGCATGGAAGCCGTGCGTCTGCGCAAGGAGAACCAGATCTACAGCGCGGACGAGAAGAGAGCCCTGGCCTCCTTCAACCAAGAGGAGAGGAGGAAACGAGAGAACAAGATCCTCGCAAGCTTTCGGGAGATGGTCTACAGAAAGACTAAGGGCAAAGAGGAGAAATAATGCTTTGTTTGAGCTGTGCAGCACAGACTGTGCCACGCAGCAGCTGACGTGTTCCAGTCGTGATTTGAAAAATGCTGCAGGTGCTGCAGCGCCTTTCACCCAACAGGGCCGGGCCCCAGGAGTGGATTACTTCTGTCAAGAAAACAGAGTTACTTTCATCAGATTCTCTAGGGTGATTTGTTCACCATCTACAAGGAATCCCTGTAAAGCGAAAGGCTAGAAGGCAGGAACAGACAGGGAAGATTAGAGGTGCGCTTGCTTTGAATCAGACAAGCCGGAGGATCCCGTGAGAAGGGCTTTGTTACATAATACCAATGTGTCATTTTTTTAATTCCATTTATTTTGATTTTTCATAGACTCATTTAGCTTGGAAAAGGCAGCGAACAAGCTACTACTAACAGCAGCAAAAATGAAGGAACTCCTGAGTTCCTGTTTAAGATCTAGGACTGTCCACTATTTCTTCAGAAGTCTTTTTAGATTTAGGTTTTTCTCAAAACAGTGAAGTTTGGTTTGTGGTTCAAACTAGACTTGTAAATATTCTGTAAATGAGTTTGTAATTTAATACAGATGGGCTTCAGTTACTTGAAAGCAAGCAGATTGCAATTGGGGTGTAAAGTAACAGTATAATAGGAGGGTCCGCTCTTCACCGAAATCTGTGGTGGAGAACAAAGTTGCTTGCTTCTTTTTCTCCTATGTTATACATAGGCATTAGAGCAGTGGGGTGCAGTGATTGGAACCCCTGGATGTATACAGTGGCAACAAGGATGTGTCTTTCAATTTATTTGAAATGTTTATGTTTATGAAAGTGTTCTAGATTAAAACCTTATTTTAACTCCGGTAGTGTTTTAATTTGGTCTGTTTCAGCAGCATTGCATGGTTTACTTTAAGCTCTGTACTTGGAGGCCTTGCTCAAGCAGTGCTTATGTGGTGGTTACCTTTGATTCAACCACATATTTCCAAACATATCCCCTTTGAACTGGTTTTTAAAAACACTTGAGAAAAAGAAAGTGTTTTTGAGAGGGCTTTTGTTCCCCTAAGTTGGGCAGCAGAGATGTCTCGTATATTGGTGCAAAGAAGATAAAAGTCCTAAAGTCCTATAATGTTTTCCCTATAGTTCCACAGACCAGCAAATCCCTCCCAGCTGTCTCTTCCCATTTACACTCTGGAACCTGGTTCCATCCTGGTGTACCCACCCATACCTGCCAGCAACCGTCCCATAAAGCCAACTGCCATGTCAGGGCATCGTTGATTTGGCACAGGTTTGATGCTTTTTATGTATCCACAAAGCAGAAATGCTGCTAAGGAAGAGCCTTTCTTTCTTCATTGTGTTTATTTGGTTCTCCAAAACGGAGCATTGGTGATGGTGAATTGGAGCTGCTCATTGGGAACTAAGTCTTTCTATGAGGATTATTTTATTTTCAATAATGTCCTGAAGCCACTTTTCTCTAAACTGACACTCTTCTGGCCTGGAGGATGGAATAAAAAGAGGGTAAATTGTAAGAATAATATTGAATCCAAGTTTGGCCAGCTCAGAGCTGGCCTTAATTCACCAGGCAAGCCTATCTACTGCAATAAAGACCATGCCTAGACCTGGGTAAGCAGGACATATTCTTCCTGGAGAAGGCAGATGCCCATGGGGTGGCTATCCATGCTTGTGAGGGAGAGAAGCTAATAATAAGCAGGGTCATTTCATTTTGTGTAGCAAAATTTTGACAGCTTCTTCCACCTCCCTGATGTGACTGCAAACTTATTTACATGGAGCTCCCTCTTTGGTTTTGGCATGGAAAAGCTTGCTAGAACCTCCTGAGTTGTGTCAGTGACAGAAGAGTAATGACATTTACCTGCGAATCAGCCTGCTGGACTCCAGTCTGAAGAAAACCTCCACAGGCGAGGTCTGCAAGAGAGCAGAGACAGGGCAGAGGTCATGCACAGCCCCTCAAAGAGCAGACACTGTAGTTAGGTAAGAGCTACTATCTATGTCTTCAAAAATAACCTGGATATTTGTACAACGTTTCTGATACAGATTAGAATAGTTTTAGTTTAAAGCCTCTCTGAGTATTTTCTTAAAGCCTCTTAAAGGTAAAGCCTCATAAGTTACAATTCTAAGCGTGTGGGATGATGTAAGATTTCTGACCAGCTATGGGCTGTTGTGCTGGTTTTGACTGCCTCAGGAATCCCTGTGCTCTTTTCCCTTTAAGGACTGGTGTGTGGCATTTCTGAGTACTTACGTCAGGTTTGAGTTTGGAGATCACTATAACAAAGTAGACGCTTGCTGTTGCTCGTGGGATGGGTTTTCGGCGTGTTGGGATGCCCCAGCAAGCTCTGTAATGGTACCTCTTGCTGTCCTCCAGTTCTTCTTCCTCAAGAAATTCTGAGTGGTGAAGCCAGCTCTCATGAATGTCCCATGTCTGTCGAACAAAGGCATCACACTAAGACTCCCTCTGTCCAGTAGAGGTGACTTGAGGGCAGTGCTAAAAAGGAACCAGAGGTGCTGTCCTTAAATTTTTCACACTTCTTAACAGTGAGAGGGTGTGACCTTCCCGAATGGATGGAATTGTCACTCACAGAAATGAGTTCTTCAATCTGCTGTCGCCCTCTCTCCACTGTGAAGTTGTTGCCTGTGGTCCACTGGATAGTTTTGATAACACGCTTGGCTTCTAAAGCAAATAAAATGCTGACAAATCCTCCTGGGGGAAAAAAAAAACCAACAAAACAACACATGCTAATAGAGCAAACACAATACCTTTTTCCTTTTTCTTCAGACAGTCCTCTGTACTGCTTCTCTCATTGTCTGGGGGTTTGTGATCTTTGTCCTCCTCCTTGTCCATTGGCTTCACCTTTAGAGAAAGAAAAGCACAAACACAGTGAGACAGAGCCGGCCCGAGAGCTGCAGGACCCATCAGAGGAACACGGAGAGCACTGGCCACTCCCTCGCTGGCCCCTCGCCCCCGCTCACCCCCCTCAGCGCTGCCCCGGACGGACGGAGGGTCCCGGGGCTTTTTTATTCCAGGGAAGGTGTCCAGCCCCGAGGAGCTGCTCCGGGCCCCGGCGGTGTCCCTGCCGCTGTCCCGCTCCCCGGCCACGGCAGCGTTCCGCGTCACCATGGAGAGGCGGGGCCGTCTCCCGGCATCCCAGTCGGCATTCCCTGCGGATACACCGACCCCGGGGAAATGCGTCCCCAGCAGCCGCAGCGTTACGGAAAAGGAAGGCAGTATGGCCAGGAAAGCAGCTGTGGGATCCTGCCAGATTCTCTGTTTGTCATGTTTCTGAAGTCTCGGCAATGGGGGAACTAAAGCAGCCTCCGCTCTGTGCTGTCTGGGCAGAGTCTCAGCCCAGCCCGGCGCACAGAGGGCTGTAGTCTCCCAGCCCTTCATAGGGAAAGGACCAACAGAGAGAGGCCAGAAATGTTTTAGCATATCACAGTGTGCTGAATTCACAGCAGCTGCTCTTCCAGAATGACAAAAGGCTGCTTTATGGATTCAGCTGCTCGATCAATAATGAGCAAAGTGTAGGCCCTAGTCCTCGTGGTCTCATAGATGCTTCCTGTCCAGCTGAGACAGCATTAATACAAGCCTGGACATTTCTCAGAAATTTGTCTGATCCATGTGACTCTGCACCTTGTTCCCTCCACATTGGTTGTGGGTGGTCATTCCATGCCCCATGTCTCACAGGGGATCAATGTTGGTGGCAGTGACACAAAATCTGCGTTTCACTCTGACTGCCACAAGGAGATAAGTAACAGGCATCGTTATAGCAGGTTCAGGATGTAGCAGAGACAAGTTTTGGCTTTATTGTAAGTTGAGACTGCTGACTAGTGCTATGCTGGGAGGCAAGAATCCAAGCTGCAGGAGGTAGCACTGGCTATTCATGCAGGCTGCTGCAGTCAGCAGCAGGGAACTGCATGTCAGAAGTGGGTGCGAAAACAGAATCAGTCTTTCTGGCATTCCTTTTCCTCCTCTCACAGACAGCTGCCTGGTGCATATCAGAGCACATAAAGTGAGGAAACCAGTTCTGTCCAAAGCTTTTATGCGACTTATGCAGCTCATACGCACCTCTGGGATAACAGATTTAAGAAGGGGGAAAAAAACTTGGTTTCAAGACTGCAGCTGGAGAGGAGTGAGGATATGTGGGAGGAACAGCTCTGCAGACACCCAGGTCAGTGAAGAAGGAGGGGGAAGAGATGCTCCAGAAGCTGAAGCAGAGATTTTGCTGCAGCCCATGGAGGACCCATGCCAGAGCAGGTGGAAGTCCAAAGGAGGCTGTGGCCCCATGGGAAGCACAGACTGGAGCAGGCTCCTGGCAGGACCTGTGAGCCCATAGAGAGAGGAGCCCACACTGGAGCAGGTTTGCTGGCAGGCCTTGTGCCCCAGCAGGGGATCCACGCTGGAGCAGCCTGTTCCTGAAGGACTGCACCCTGTGGGAGGGACCCACACTGAGCAGTTTGTGAAGAAGTGCAGCTTATGGGCAGGACTCACAGTGGAGAAGTTTGTGGAGGACTGTCTCCCATGGGCAGGACTCCAGGCTGGAGCAGGGGAAAAGTGTGAGGAGTCTTCCCCTGAGAAAGAAGGAGCAGCAGAGACACCATGTGATGACATTCACCACGACCCCCATTCCCTGCACAGCTTGGGGGGCACGAGGTAGAGAAAACTGGGAGTGAAGTTGAACCCAGGAAGAAGACAGCGGTGGAAGGAAGGTGTTTCATCATTTGGTTTTATTTCTCATTATCCTGTTCTTATTTGATTGACAATAGATTAATTTCCCCGAGTTGAGTCTCATTTGCCCTTGATAGTAATTGCTGAGTGATCTCTCCCAGTCCTTATTTCCACCCTTGAGCCTTTCATTATGTTTTCTCTCCCCTGTCCAGCTGAGAAGGGGAGTGACAGAGCAGCTTTGGTGAGCACCTGGTGTCCAGCCCCGGTCACCCCACCACAGCAACACAGATACAAGGGCTGAACACACATATATCTTTATTTAGGAGTTCAATCATTCTCAATAGATACGTGGATTCTTCAAAGTGCTGCCACCTTTGTCTATATTCTCCAGACCCTAAAAAGAAAAAATAACAGCTATATCTGCATCATTCTTGCCACTAATGGGCAACAGGGCATAGCTGAAAACACCAGTTTTCAAACTACACCTAATTACCCAAGTCCTAGTTAAAACACAGTTAAAATGCACAGCCCCAGAGGCAGATCAGCTGCGGGCACGGAGCCCGACAGCCCCGGGAGCGACCAGTGCGGCCGCGGGAACCCCATCCCAGAGCCCGGGGATGGAGGAGCAGCGCCTGGCTCCTGCCTCTTCCCCCCCGGTGGTACCTGCCCATGCCCCAAAAACCTGCCTTGGACACGTAGTACTTGTTGACACCCGAGATCCGCCGATCCCTTTCCATCAGGGCCCACTGGAAGGGGAAGCGGGCGATCCTCTTCTCCTGTGGGCACAGCGATGCCTGTTACGGCCCCGGGTTCGCCGGTATGGGGTCCCGAGGGATGGGGGAAAGGGGAGCCCGGGAAGGAAGGGATCCCAGAAGGATGCAGGGGGCTGAGGGGTAAGGGCGGTCCCGGGGGAAGCGGAGCCCCGGGGCCGCGGGTCCCGCCCCGCGCTGACCTTGCCGCCGTTGTTCCAGCGGTTCATGAACATGGTGGAGAAGCCGGGGATGCTGAGGCAGACGCCCATGATGGCCATGCCGGGCAAGATCTCGTACCACATCTTGCCGGTGTCGCTACCGGTCCCGGTGCCGGTCCCGCTGCGCCGCTCCCGGGGCGCTCCCGCTCCCGGGGCGCTCCCGGGGCACTCCCGCCTGCCCGCGCCTTCCCGCCCTGCCCCGCGCCCGTCCAGCCCGGCGGGCCGGAGGGGCGGTGGGAGTGACAGCGCTTGCGGGAAGACGGCCCTCGGCCAGGAACGAGGCGAGGCGGTGCCGCGCCTCCAGCCCGCTGATCCCAATCCTGATCCAATCCTGATCCCAATCCCTGATCCCAATCCGCACTACCGGTGCTGTCGCTTGACACGGCCGGGACTGGCGGTGCCGGGCGCGGTGGGCACGCCGGGAGTTGTAGTCCGCGGAGCCCTGCGCCCGTTTCAAAGGCGTAGTCTCCCGCGCAGAGTCGGGCGGCCTAATGGGCGCGCGGGGCCGCGCGTCGCTGCCCTGGTCCGGGATCGGGATCCGGAGCGGGGCCGGGATGAAGGAGGACAAGGAGAACGCCAGGCCAAGGAGCGGCGCGGGGCCGCCGCCGGGGCCGGGGACTGTGCTGGGCGCGGGCCGGGCCCTCGCCGACGGACGGAGGGCAGGGGCCGGCGCGGCCGAGTCGACCGCCTGGAGGGGGGGGCGGCCCAAGGACAAGATGGAGAACGCTCAGCAAGGTGGGGCCCGCGCGGCGCTCGGGAACGGGCACCCCGGGAACGGGCACCCCCCGGGGAACGGCACCCTCCGGGAACGGGCACCCCAGGACCGGGAGCCCCGGCACCAGGCCCTATCGCGGTAGCAGGAACCACCTTCAGGACCGGGCCCCAACCCGGTAACGGGGACTTGTTCCGGTAACGTGGGCCGCCTGCGGGGCCGGGGTGGGGGAGAACGGGGCAACACGGGACTGGGAGGGCCGCGGTACCGCCTGTCCCGGCACTTCCGCCCTCTGACCGCCGGTCCCTGCGTGCCGCAGGTTGTGGATTCGGCGGCTCCCCGCCCAGCGTGACGAAGGAGCAGCTGGAGGAGCACCTGCAGCCCCTGCCCGAGCACGACTACTTCGAGTTCATCCCAACGACTCCAGGTACGGCCGGGGCCCGCCCGGGCGCTCCGGGAGCCGCCGCTGCCGCCCCCCGGGCCCCGGTGGCGCCGCCGCCCCGTCAGCCGAGCGCCCTGGAGCCGCCGCTGCCGCCCCCCGGGCCCCGGTGGCGCCGCCGCCCCGTCAGCCGAGCGCCCTCGGTTTGTGTCTCCGCAGCCTGTACCCGCACATGTTCTCCAGAGCCTACATCAACTTCAAGAACCAGGAAGACATAGTCCTCTTCAGGGATCGCTTCGACGGCTATGTTTTCGTCGATCACAAAGGTGAGTGAATGGCACTCAGTGCGTGTTGCTGCTTTCCCGCTGTCTGTGCCGTGTGCTGGTTGAGTGTTGGAGGGGTGGGGGTGAGCAGCCAATTCTGGCTTGTTCGGGTTAAGTGCCTTTGGTGCATGTTATGCAGTATTTCACAGAACAAAGAAAACTCCATGTGCTTTGTGGAAACTAGTTTAAATTGACTTTCTTTATGGATGTATTTTTAATGGATTTTCTATACGATGTGTAAAATCCAGATGGGTGTATATAAGGCAGCAGTGGTGTTGATATAAATCCTGATATTGAGGTGAATGTTTGCACTGTCATACCTGAGCATCAAGTCTGTAAAGTGAAAGCAGGTACATGCTGTCAGTGTACAAACAAATGAAGCTGAGGTTACTGATGTCACCCTCTGCTACTCCCCTCACCTGTTCTGTGCACTTCCAACAGTGTCACTTATCTTTTGGTCAGTTTTTACCTGAAATTGTCACTTGTTTCAGTTTACAACTGAGTGAGTCATCTTGATTCAGTAAAAAGAACAGCTGCTTCTTTGCAGATTAAGTTGTTAAAGTGACTGCTCTGGAGACAGTAATCTGTAGGAAACATATTTGGTTTAATTAACTGGTTAAAAATTTGAGTATTTAGTCACCACTTACCTGTTTTCTAAACATGTTAGGTTTCATGGGTTTAAATTTTGCCTTTCAGAAGTGCTTACATTGGGCAGCACTAAAAGTTCCTGTTGGCTTGGGCAGTGAAAGGGTCTTACCTGGAGCTTTGATTCAAGTGCATGTGTTTTACAATTCATCTAGACAGGTGTTCTATGTGACAAAGCTCTGTCCATAAGATTCTTCTTTATTTGGGAGGGTTACAAGTTCATGAATTCTGCTGTCTCTAGGGTGGTTTTTTTATTAAATTGCTTTCAAAATGGAAGGATTTTTTTATGCTGTCTAAATAATCTCTTCTAGTATTGCATGTTTCTTGTGAGGCTTATCTTCCTGCTTTAGATATGGACAATATGGTCTATTTTATATCTGCTTCATCTCTATTTTAATGCATTTTTCCCTCTCCTCTTAACAGGTCAGGAGTATGCTGCCATAGTTGAGTTTGCACCTTTCCAAAAAGCTGCAAAAAAGAAGAGTAAGAAAAAGGATGCCAAAACTGGAACTATCGAAGATGGTATAACAGCAAGATAGTTTGTTTTGCATGTGTAGATTGAAAATCTTAGCAGTAATTTGAATATGTTTTTCCTGTGACACTGTAATTCCGTCAGTGGGATGTTTGCTTATTGGCACTGCTTTGTGAGGTGCAAGTCTATTAAATGGTTGTCCCAGACAAACATAATGCAGCAGCTCATTTGAGAGCTGCCAGCTTATGAAAAGATGGCATATAAACAACCCAACTTATGTAAATCCAACCCAGACTTCCAGCAGTGCATAATGCAAATGCTTTTCGTGCTCCAATGTATCTCTTTTTTCTTTTCCCCTTTTTTTTCCCCTCCTCTTCCTTTTCCCCTTCCCTGTAGATCCAGAATACAAGAAGTTTTTGGAAAGTTACAGTGCAGATGATGAAAAATTAACCTCCACTCCTGAAACTTTGTTGGAGGAAATAGAGGCAAGAAACAAAGAGCTAATAGGTATGGAAATCTGTGTACTATAGTTATATTTTCCTAGAGCACAAAGAAACGTGGTTTGTAATTTGAAGCTGTGATTCCTCAACCTGGAGGAGACTGAATTCTTTTGTGTACCTGCTTAGTATTTGTAAACCTTTAGGCTAATATTATTCAGTGTATATTTTGTTTTGTTCCCATCCTCTAAATTCTTCTCTAGGTTTAAGTTTCAGGTGAGAAAGTTCCTTCCTGTTGCCAGCTGCTGGTCAGATGTTTGTTAGCCAGACCAGGCTTTGGAGTGGCTGCATTTCAGTGGATGCAGTGATGTTTAGTGCACAGTGCTGTGAGTTGTGATGTTCCACACAGGCACAAGTTAAGAGAGAATGTGATTGGGTAAAATACCACAAAAAATGACCAGATTGCTCTTTTTAAGCATGTTCCAGGAATATCTTTAAAAGCAAGAGAGTCTGGGAAAAGCCTAATGCAGACTGAGTATCCCTGTACACAGAGGTGTACTGGGTATCATATTAGTGTCCTAAAGAAGTTTGTAGAATCCTAATAGTTGCCACTGTTCAGAGACAGGTTTGGAATACTTGTTTCAAAGTATTTCTGTACGTGAGAGGAGACAGGCAGGGGAATCTGTAAAGATGCTTCACTTCATACAGGGTTTTGTTGTATTGCAGTATTGGATAAGGCAAATTGTTTACATTTGTTTTGTATATTCTCTAGCTAAAAAGACTACTCCTTTATTGAACTTCTTGAAAAACAAACAGGTAAGACCTACCTCCAGAATCTTCTTGTTTGCAAGTACAATTTGCTCATTTAAAGCATGATTGTAGATATTGCAGTATGTGTACTGATATGTTTCTGCCCTTCCTTTTGAAGAAGGATCTTTTGACCCAACTCACTTGTCAACACCTGGTTCACATATTTTAAAGTACTGGAATGTTGGTCCTTGTAGGAATGGTGGTGCTTTGTGTACATTCTGGTCCCAGCAAATTGTCTCTTGTGGCACTGCCAAAACAGATTCCATTTTAATGCTTCCATTTTTAGTGCACTTACAGCTGAGGTCCTTGTGGATGATCTTTCTCCTAGCACATAATGTTATTTTAACTTTTAGCACTGGAGAAAATCAGAGGTGGGGCAGATTAAATGAAAATTAGAATGATAAAGGCTGAGGCCAGTGTTGTGGTTGGGCTTTTTAAGACAGTACAAATCAAGGCTTATGAGTAAGAAAAAAATACTGCTGCAACATGTTCAGGTTCACAACAACAGTAGAGGTGACAGGATTTTTTTTTTTTCTTTTATAGTAGAGGCAGCTTTGAGGTGAGTTATTTGATGGCTTAAAGAGATGTTTTCTGGTGTGGAGATACACTATTTCTCTTTGCTTTTACACACACAGAGACTGAGAGAAGAAAAAAGAGAGGAGAGGAGGAGGAGAGAATTGGAAAGAAAAAGACAAAGAGAAGAAGAGAGAAGAAAATGGAAAGAGGAGGAGAGAAGGAAGAGAAAAGAAGCAGAAAAATTGAAGAAAGTAGACAGATGCCCAGAAAAAGAAAGAGACAGATCAAAAGAAGAACCAAAGATTAAGGTCTAGAACAGTTCTTTATTATAAACTGTTACACTCCCTTTCCCCTATTATTTGTATATCAGTCTCAAAATGTGCTTTGAGTATTGTGTGAAAAATCACATGAGTTTGGTGTTAGTAAATTACCAATTTTTTGTAATATTCAATAGTAGGCAATGTAAAGGTTTACATGCTGTAATGCTTCATAGTAATATTTAAACTTTTTGTCATGTGACTGTTGTACATGCCGTGGTAAACAGGATTGTGAATTCACTATGGAATGGAGACTATTTTTAAGCTTTCTAAAATGGCCTGGTTTAGGAGAAAAATCCTAGTTTGCTGTGTGAATAATGCTTACTCATACACTCCAGCTTTTAGAAATGCTGCTATTTGCAGTAATATTTCCTTAATGTTCACTTCTCACTGGACTGTGGTTCCTTTGATGCAATTTCGGTGTTGTGCCAGACAATATGTATCAGAGTGAGCTTTTTAGTTGAGACTTCTGTTTTCTTTGTAGCTACTTAAGAAGCCTGAAAAAGATGAAAAAGACTTGGAGAGAAAAGAAAAATCCAAGAAACTGGAAAAAGAGACTCTGAGGGAGGAAAAAATTGCGAGTAGTGCATCTGCCAAACGATCTGATGGGGAGACAAAAGAAGAGAAGGCAAAAAAGTATTTTAGTACTTGCTATAAATATATATGTATCTATAACTTGTTTCCTGATCATAATGAGGCTTAGGCTGCTCTGCTATGTCAATGTTTTGAAATTCCTTTTAAATGCTTTTCCTAATATAAGGCACAGGCTGTGTTCTCTGTGGCAGTGCACATCCCTGTGATTGCAGAAAGCTCTGTGAATTACCTGAAAATTCTTCACTAGTGGACAAATTTTAATATTTTTGCAACTCAGTGTGAGAACTGCACTAAAGAAGCCCAGGTGTAGGTGACTGCAGCAGGCTGTGAGCACTGTCCTTGCAATGGGATGATTATAAACATGGTGAGAGGAGAGGTGTTCTCCAGTTACTAGTCCCTCTAAGGTCTTGTAAAAAGGTCAAAGTGGAAATTGTAATTCTCAAAAGCTCTGTGATCTCTTCGAGGTTCAGTTTTGTCGTGTGAGAAATAGAGATGAGAGACAGAAATTCAGGTTTTTGTAAAGCCAGAGGAGACTCAACCAGCTATGCAAGTAGGAGGCTGGGAAGTGCTAGTGGTCAGTGTCCTCTCTGGCTGTCGTGCATGACTCGGGTTGTCACAGCTGCCCAAGAGCTCCCTAGAACCTGCCAGTGTGTCGTCCTCCTATTGCACATTTACACCGCTATTACATTGATCTCCCGGCTCTGTTTGATGAATCTTTTGAGCTTAATTTTCAGTTTTGTTTTCATACAGATCAGAAGATGAGTGTGTAAAGGACTACAGGGACCGAGATAGAGATTTTGACAGAGACAGAGAATATGAGAGAGCGCAGAGAGAGAAACTGAGACGCCAAGAAGAGGAGCGTCGGAGGCAGAAAGAGCGCTATGAGAAAGAGAAGGTTTTTAGAAGAAAAGAGGAAGAGGTGAAAAAGGAGAGAGACTTACTCAGAGAAAAGGGAAAGAAAAGTGATCTTACAGACTTTACCAGCAGCACGGACAAATCTGAGAAAGTAACCAAAGATGATAAAAAAGAGGATACAATTAAGAGAGATCGTATCAGAAACAAGGTGCTGAATTTCTTTAAATTCATATGTTGATTCATAGGGGTCAGTTTGTGTTTTTTAGGATAAAAGCACTTCAAGGAAAGAACCATGTGGTTTCTCTGTTGAAAATTCTCCCTGTTCTGGCAACAAACTCTGCCATTACTAGAAAGTTTTTTTTTTCCTGTTTGTCCACTGAATTTTGCTAAATTATTTGTGGTATTTCTTGTCACTGAGTAGGAATTAAGCCAAGATACGATGGGTTAAATTGTAAGACACTGATACCTTTCCATTTGCTGACTTGTGCCATGGGCTGTATCTTTAAGGTGTTGGTAGAGCATCAGTATCTCTGCTGCCTGAAAATGCATCTCGAAGTGGAAGAGTGATTGAACAGGCTCCTCCAAAGCAGTGTCAAGACTGCTACTTGCAGAATAGGGCATGTCCTGTAGGCTCAAGAAATGTCTTGAGTTTAGTTTTATATCGTCAGCAAATTAGTTTTTGCAGCATCACTGTGCATGTTTTTTATGTCACTTAAGACATTGTCAGGTACAAATGAAACTCAGGGTTTTGAAGATTTGAAATTGGCCTCTTTTCTGAGGGTGAGCTGAACTCAACAGGAAACTCTCTACAAATCTCTTCAACTGTGAGCAGTGTTCTTTGTGGCTTGAACAGGGATGTTGCCTTACAACAGAGACAACCTTGATTTGAGACACTTGAAGTTACGTTGCCACCATGGTGGAGTAATTTAACTTAGAACACCCAGAAAAGTTTGAATTTGAGCCATTTCTAATACCACTGCTGCCATAATAACCCTGATAGCAGGGAGCTATGAAAGAGTCTAAACAGTTCTGGTTTGTTTCAGGATCGCCCCGCAATGCAGCTGTACCAGCCAGGAGCCCGAAGCCGAAGCAGATTGTGTCAGTATGAAGACAGTGCTGCAAAGCCCACAGATCAGGGAGTGGATAAGAAACAAGAGAGTGAGACCAGTCACATGAAGGAAGAGGAGTGACTAGCATGCAAGCCTTATGTGTTCTGACTGTCTGTGCAGCCAAAGAGCATGTACAACGCAATCCAGAAGTGCCTTCGAAGCGAAGAAGGAACAAAGGAAGAAAAGGGGGCATTGTGCTGTTGGATGTTTCTGGTTAAAGAACCTCAGTTGTAGATTCGGAATTTGAAATGTGTTCTCATTGTATTTTCAGTTATTTGAATTTATTTTCCCAGCATCTAACTACAACAGGGAAGAGAATCTTTGCTAAATAGAAAGACTTTATGGCCTTAACTATGATAATAAATGAGTTGTGGTCAGGAGGGGATGACACCTGGATCTAAAGCCAGAGCTCTACTGCAAGGCGATGGGAGCTAGTGTTGGATGCACTTAGGCAGAGCAAGCTTGGAGTTGCCCAGATGTAATACAGGTGTTGCTATGTTGTGTGGTGCTCCTGCCTGAGGCAGGGAAAGCTAAATTGTGTCAGTCTAGCACTGAGACAGGTATACAGGCTGGGGTTGTTGAGGTACCAGTGGACAGGAGCACTTTGGCACGTAAGGAGCAGAACATCTGGCAGTGCAGTAACAGTGTTAGGGAGGGAGAGACCTTCCTCTTCAGTGGTTCTGTGGATAAAGTAACTAAGTTGGAGTGTATGAATAAGCTGGCTTAAGAATGGAATATGTCTTGACAAATTCTCATGCAAAGTCTCCCTACATTGAAATGCTTCTTTTTAATCAAATGTAGCTGGTTTGGGCATCCTGTTCTTTTCCAGCATCCTCCCTTCTGTAGAGTCTGAAACGTTTCCCAACTCCTGCCCTCTCAGAACTGCTTCCTCTTCCCTCATAACTTGAAGTATTGTTTTACAGCCCAGAACGAGACTTCGCCAGTAGCAGCTCCTCCCAAGCTAGCGAATTTTAGCCATAGCTGTTTTTTTTTGTACTAAACCCAAATAAAACTGCACAAACTCGCTCCTCCGCAGCCGCCGTTCCTCACTGCGTGCGGGTCCTCCTGGCCCAAGGGGGCGCCGTGCCAGCGCTGCCGGCGCCGCTCCCGCCCCGCCCCTTCCGCCTCCTCTGCCGCGCCATCGCCGGGAGGCCGCTCGCTCCGCGCCATGGTGAGCCCCCCCGAGCAATCCGCCGCCATCCGCCGCGCCTCGGCATCGCGAACCGCCGCCGCAGCGTTCGGTGGGGCCGGCGGGCCGGCCGCGGGGTGGCGGGGGCGAGGCGGCCGCGGGGGAGCGGGAAGGGACCGGGTGGCGACTCGCCCGGGCTTGGCGGGCGGTGCCGGGGCTCCGTCCCTGCGCTCTCTTGCAGCAAGACGTTTAAGATCAAGCGCTTCCTCGCCAAGAAGCAGAAGCAGAACCGGCCCATCCCTCAGTGGATCCGGATGAAAACCGGCAATAAGATCAGGTATCGAGCGCGGCTGGCGCGTTTTGAGGAGCTGCGGCCGCACGGGCGCGCTCGGGCGGCCCGGGCGGTGCGGGCCGAAGGAGGAGCTGACGGCATTTATGCCTCCAGAAGTGCGGTTTTGTGGCCGTGAGGGCCAGGCAGGGGTGGCAGTGCAGTTTTCGTGGGGTTTCCATGCCATTTCTTTCTGTAGCCGTTCTGTCCAGTGCTCTGCGAGGGTCCACGGGTGTTCAGTGATGGCACATGTAAAGCGAAAGCCTGAGCTGCACTTGTGGGTAATTTATTCCAGATTTTGTACCCTGGTAGCGTGTTTGTTTCTGACGGTCTTGGGGTGGTGCCTGTCTGAGCCCGCTGTTTAAAAGCTGTTGTATACTTCGGTCAGAGAGCTTGTTATCTCATCCGCTTCTTTGTCTGGATTTTTTTAAGGCAGCGGAATTTTTCCTCCTCTTTCTCTCTCTTTGCCCTAAGCAGTGAGGAGAGCCACAGCAGCAGTGGCTGGCTCAGGTAGTGAAACTGGGCAGGATTGCCAGGTTCTGTTCCTGTAACTCCTCCCAACTTGTTTCTTTCTAGGCAAGATTGGTGGCGTGTATGTACAACGAGGTTCTGTTTTAGCTAAATTGCAGTACTTTGGAGTACTGTACCGTGGGGCAAAATGATGGATTTTTGACGTGTGGCACTTGAACACCGTGGTGATCAGCTGTGTCTGAGCTGTGTGCCAAAGCAGGCTGCAATTGCAGAGCTTCCTGCAGTGGGAGCACTGCCATTTTCCTGCTGAGAGCAACTCTGTTACAAACACTGTCTGCGGTTTCACCTGCACCGTGGTGAAAACGTTTGTTCTTAACATGGACAAGTGCATGCTCACAAACGGATATTTCTTGGGATAGACCTTTTCCATGTGCTGCTCTTCTTTCATGTTTTGAACAAATGTGTGTGTGCACTTTGCTAATTTACCCTGCTCTTGTCTTAGGTACAACTCCAAAAGGAGACACTGGAGGAGGACCAAGCTGGGCTTGTAAGGGAGACTGTCCTGGGAGCTCTAATGAACACTGGTCTTTCTGCATCAGATTGATACACCCTCAAGTCATTCCTTCTGTGGTGCTGGACTGCACTCCCCAGTGTGGGGTTTTTATGAGCTGGTCTGGGATGTTGATGTTAACTGGGAAAATCTCTTCTTGCATCTGAAACATGGAGACTGTGTTCTATTAGTGTTCTTTCTTTCAGGCATCACCATGAGCATTGACAGTGCACAGGCTTACTAATAAATATGGACCTGAATTGCTTGGTTGAAATAATTTCGTATATATATATGGTGGGATCATAACAGAATGAAAAATAACATTCCTGTGAGTATGTTCTCACTTAGTATGAGGAACCCTGGCAGCTCTTTTCAGGTAGAGTAGGCTGTGTCTTCCTTGTCACTTTTGCTGGCTGTAAACCTTTGAGAGCAAAATGTACCCGTTTTAAAAGAAAAAAAAAAAAGATGTAAAAATTAGAACTAATTTTAGAGGAGTTAAAATGAAAAAAAAATTATTAGAGAAGCTACTCCCAGGTAGGAGTGGGGCAGGGCAGCCCTTGGAGCCTGTGATTAAAATCCTCGCTGGGGAGTGGGTGCAGTGGAATAACTGGATGAAAGAAAATTTTGCTAAGGGTGAGTAGATCTATCTCCTACAAAATGCAGTACTGTAAACTGTAGCACATCATCTCTGCATGCTCCCTAGAATATGAGGTAACCTGAGCTTGCTTTGGAGCTCTGTATTGGTTTGATAAGTTAGTTCATGTCAACCACAGGTGCAGCTTAATATAAAACATTTTTTGCAGACAGTAGTAGCTCAAGACAAATCAGCTATTTAAAAAATTGGGAGAGGAAAAAACAGATAAAATGGCTCAGAGTAGTTGTCACTCCAGCTCCCTGACGCTGGTATTTTCTGCTGGGGCCTGTGGAACCATGTATTTACCTCAGGGAAGTGGAGGAGGTGGCTGTGCTCTGCTCCCAGCCCGGCCTGGCTGCTCCTTCCCTTTCTGCAGAGCTGACCCGGGGTAGGTGCTCCGGTCAGCAGGAAATCCCTGACGGTGCAAAGCCCATCCTGACACTGAGGGCTGCCAAGGTTCCTGGGTTCAGCTGCTGTGGTGGTTCCGTTCCTGAGAGGCAGCTTCCTGAGGAAGCCTCGGGGTGCCACACCTGTGTGGCTGCTCTTCACATTGAAGGTAAATAGATTTACCTCCTTCGCATAGCGATTGGTAGCAAATAATGCTGGGCACATCACATGTTCACACGTGCAAATGCCAACAAACAGACATCTCACTCATGGCAATCTGTCCCTCCTAAGCTGTGCTGGAGGGTTCTGTGAGCTGGGGCGAGCAAGGCTGGGATTTTTCCCAACTTCAGGACGCTGCAGAGGTATCATCTAGGTTCTCTTCCTGTCTGGTCAGAGTCTAGACTCCTTTGTTATCAGAGGGAAGCAGTAAGTCACTGCAACAGGAAAGCAGCAAACAGCATTGCCAGAGAGGCTCACATGCTGCAGACACTTTGACCCCAATGAATTTGAAGTCTCTTTGCTCTTGAGGCAAATGTTGGGAAATAACAGCGCTGCTGAGGGCTGGAGATCTGCCTTGGAGCCTGGTGAACCTCCCGCAGCCTCTCCACAGCACCACTGTTGGCAGGCAAAGCTACTCTAGAGTTTCTCTTTAATTGTGTCTATGGGGATCTGGCTGAGGAGGAAAACAGTAATTTTATGGACTTGAGAATGGAAAGAGACAGTTTTCTCCATGGCATTTGTGGGAAAGCTTTCCTGAGTAATAGATTGAAAAATTTATTACTATTTATTAGAAAGTCTCCCTATTACTGTCCTTACTGTGATATTTTTATCAGATGGAAGCAGTTTCTACTAAGGAGCTGCTTTGGAAAATAACCCCTTGTATTATTTTCCTCATTTGACAATCTGTTTTTCAAATTTGACATTAAAGGACAGCACATAGTAAATTTAGTACAAATTAAACTTGGGATAAACTCAGCCTTCTGCAGAATCTTAACCCCTGGTTATGAATGGTTTCTGTTGTTCCTGTGGCAGCTCTGTTTGCCCTCTCCTCTCTGTGAGACTTGCAGGGGGGATCAGGGATCTCTGCAGAACTGGGCTAATGAGATAATTGAGACACCAACAGAAGCTTTAAAGAAAAAAAATCTAAATAATTTGGATGTTTTACTACATTAGTTTTGGTGGATATGCTGTTGCTTTTGAGTGAGAAGCAAAGTTAGAGCCAATTGTGTACTTGAGAAATATTTTTTAAATGTGTCTGCATATCCAAACCAACTGCCCTTCTGCAGGTATAAAAATAAACCGTGCAAGACAGAGGGGTGGGTCACTGGAAGTGGCGTGGGGTTTGGGGCAAACACAACGTGCAGCAGCAGGAGAAGATCCTTTTTTTGCTCAGTGGAAAAGAACTCGGGCAGGGCAGGGGGGTGTCATCAGTGAGCGTGTTGTACCACCACCCAGAGAAGCTGAGCTCTGGCTCTGCTCTTTCTGAAGTCCCTGCCTAATTCACCTCAGCACAGAATACAGGTTTAAACCCACAACCAAAAGATGGGGGAAAAGCTCCTTTAAGGGATTTTCATTACCTGTCAAGGGGAATCAAGTACTAAAAATCATTTTGTGTTATTTAAGTGCAGCATTTGCCAGCTAAATTTTACCTTTGAATGGAATATTGAAGTCCAGGTTTCCTGGTGGGGTGTGACTAAGCTGCAGGTATGAGTGCCAAGGAAATGGTTCCTTCAAGGCAATTCTCATTAATTCCACTGTTTACTCTGTGCCTTACTCAGAGGCGGATGTATGAGCGGTCCCGTGTCCCTTCCCTGACAGGTGTGAAAGGGTGACAGAGGACTAACAGGACAAAAAATATTTTGTCAGTCCCACCTGTCTCATCAACAGCACTTTGGTTACCAGAACTTGACCCCAGTGCTGTTCATGGAGTCTGTGCTGCTGTGACCAGCCCTGCTGTCCCATGGCATGGATGTGGCCAGAGCAGTTCCAGGAGGAGCTGTGTTGCCATACTCTTCAATCCATTAGAGCTAAAGCATTACAAAACTGCTGTAGATCAGGCATTGAATTCATTCCCAGCATGTTTTGTATGTATCTACTGCTGACCTCAAAGATTAAAAAGACACATCTATATGTTCACCTTGTCACCTGGATCGCTGTCCACCCATGTGCAGGCTGCTCTTCCCTTTGTCACCTACTGCAGACTGGGTGTCCAAGTAGCATTTCAGAGCACAATCTGTATGTAATGGGTTGGCTCAGGGTCTGTGAAACCCACAGGCTCAGGTTCCCCAGAGGAACTT